AGAATCAAAAGTTAAAAGCATTACAAAATGAAATAAGTTTCCATAAGCTGGAAAAGGCTTTTCAATGTTTATTCGTTATTTTCTCTCTTCAATCTCCCCAACTTTTGCATAACTTTAAGAATTATGAATGATTGGTGGCCTTACTGTTTTAATTATGATACAATGCCTTGGTTGGTAAACAAAAAATTGATGAAATGGGCGGATCGTTTATGATAAGTGATAAAGAGGAAGTTATGCCTGCACGGAAGTTAATTATGGGTGGATGATACCCGGGAGGGCAGGAAGCCGATATGTTGAGCATTGTACCTAGCCAAGGTGTTGTCCCGTAACCGCAGCAGCACCTTAGCCGAAGTACAAAGCTTCACAAAGGGCCCAGCTATGGGTCACAACAATCTCGACAACTACCACACTAAGCAGGTGAACATTCTTCTTGGGAAGCGTTCCACCAGAAAATGAATCATCATTCAGTTGTAAACCCACTCTTTTATAGATGCGATCTGTGACCCGGCGGGAGAACGGGCAGCAAAAGGGGTCTCTCCGTCTATCATTCTCTGTGCGTCTGTGCTCCTCTTCCGACGCTTCTGTAACTGTACATGAGCGTTACCCACGGGAGGGCACCCGATGTTACCCGTGATGTGATGACACGATCATGACGATGTCCAGGTTTAAGGTATGCCTGTATATGTGTTTATGTGCATGTGTATGTATGCATATATATGTGTATGTGTATTTATATATATGTGTGTATGTGTGTGTAGGTATGTGTATGTGTGTGTGTTTACATATATATCCACCCTAAATGACAAATATTTCGTCATCTCTACGAAAAGGCCTTAGCAATGCCTGTGCAATGAATGCCTGTTTTGAAAAAAAAAAAAAATCGTCTCCCCAAATGACTCATCTCGCCCTCCCCATTCTGTTTGAACGTGATTGTGAAGCATCATCAAGACAACACTTCCTTCTTCCATTTGCGCCACCTTCCTTGTTGGTTGCATGCACGCACTGATGTGACGTGTTCCGCGAATGCTATGTGAAACTTACAACTTTTTGCACCAAAGAGTGCATGTCAGTATTATGAAATAGTATGAGAAGGAGTTGCATGCATTGTTGGTTACGAGAAGCGGAAGGTGATTTTGATTACCGTACGGATTGATGATGACAGGGAAACTTAATCAAAGCTTCCGCTTAGTTAATCATTTCCAAGACTTTAAAATTCATTAACCTTCCAAGGTTTTGCCAATCCAAATCAAAATCGGGAATGGAAAACAGTGATTTTATATATGTGAACATCGAAATATGTACTATGAAGTTTGAAATAGATTATTTTTCCAGCTCAAAAAAAATTAGGGTTTTTGAATTAAATTTTCAACAAATCTCTCCGTTTCGCCTTTTAAGCAAATCAAAAACTTGCCAGTAACTATAAGCTTCAAATGTAATTGGCTAGTAATTGTAGCACAATGACTCAAAAATTCAGTAATATTTGGAAGAGTGAAATTTAGGGCCAGCTGCACTTGACCCCGCTATTACTTGCATGAACACGAAGGTTACGAAAATTTCTGTTCCTCTGTACCAGATTGAAAATTTGTCAATTATAGGTTAAGGATTGAATTGACAAAAAATAGCATAAGGTGGAATGGCGCTTATTATGACCTGTTGTTATGAACCACCTACTAGTTTGATCATAAATGGTCGTAACCTACTAAAGCGAATTTAATTGTAATCTTTTTACCAGCATAAACTCCCAACTTTCAATAAAACGGAAAATTACTTTCTTGTCAAAGCCTCCAATCACAATTTAAGAATTTGTTGTGACCAAAGAATTTTGTTAACCTTACGAGTCATTTAGAAAGCAGGTCGGCCAATTTTCTGATCGGTTGGCAAATCAGGCAATTAAAGAATCGGGAAACTAACCGGAGCTGAAGGTTTGATATCGATGCTTGATGCTTGAGAATATTCTCCCCTCAGTTTTGTGCTTATTACGGCTTTAACACTTCTAGAGCATTCGTTTAGAGCGATTCATCAAGCAGAGAATTTAAAATATTTTTCTTCTACGCAGAGAGCAAAATCTCGTTTTCTTTAAGAAATTTCTAAATACTTCGTAAAATAAAGCCTTTGCAGTTCACTTCAAGTACCTTTTTAAACCAATTCCTAAATGTCAAATTTTTTGGGATCGTCTGAAGAGTATATTTGGAAAAACTATTCCCAACAACAACTTTGAAATTTAATTAGTGAGTTGGATGGTTAGGAAACCTTCCGGAATAGGTCTTTTTGAATGACATTCTCCTTTTTTTTACTGGCTAAATTTAAAACTGGAATGAAGCAAACTTTACAAAGAAACGGAATACATTGGTCATAACACCGATCCAGGTTTATCCGCATTTCGCTCATTAAGATCATGGTTTATTGCATGATATCATTCGTAAATAATGAACTGGTACGGACGTCATTGACAAATAATTGCTAAATTCATTGAAATATCCGTCTAATGATACATCACTCTACACAAAGTAATATTTCATCGAAATTGGTTGTTGTTGAAATAAACTGTTCTGTCAGATCTATTAGGATGTCTCATCGCGATGAAAAGTTTATTTTTGGCAACAAAGAGAAGCAACTGGATATTCCAACTAAATTTAAGAGACATTATCCATATAGCATCGAATTGAATTATCTTTAGCCTGGTCATTAAGGGTTCACATCGTTTTTTCATTAGAAATTAACAATTTGTACGGCTATGTTAATCCTCGGAATTGAGTATTTGTGAAGAAATAAGTTAATACCATAATGAATTGATGCCAGGCAATTCCGGCAATAAAGTACTTCCATTGTGCATTGATTGTCTTTGAAAAGTGAATTTAATCAGTGCTTTACTCATCAACAATAAATTTAGCAAACTACTTTCAGTATACATATCTGAATATATTTATTGATTATATTAAACAAACTTTTATATATCATTGATGACAAGAATGCATTATGGCAATCCTTTGGATTTGTCAAATAAATGAACTTTCGGTATATGACTTTAAAATTTGTATGCAAAAGAACGAACATAAAGTTTTGTTAAACAGATAATAACTTTACTTTTAACAGACACGTATTCTGATAAGGGTTGCTTCTTGCAAAAAAAAAAAACAACACACATCGGCTATTTAAAATTTTTAACGCTCACAAAGAGCAATAAGTGATGAAACCTGATAAACAGTTGGTAAAATGATAAATTAAGTATAAAAATACTTTTCTAATCAACGTTTTTGATACGGAGATTTGAAGAAGTAATGAAAAAAGCAAGTGTCACAAGTGTTGTCACTTCTACCGGAAGCAATACCCTTCAGAAGATTACTGACTGCTGAATTATCATATATGATGTACGATTCAGAAGATCGAGTAATGTATTCCATTTATGTGATACATATTATAAATTGTTAGAGGTAAGCAAGAGTTTAATGCTATGAGATCATGATATTGTCATTCATAGGAGCCAGTATTCCTAGTCTCAATGGTACAAAGCTATTTAGTCAAAATCAGTACTTTTAAAAACCTTCCAAAATGTGGCGTCATCGACCAGTTTCTCTAAACTCTACATTTATATTTTCATATTCATTCGCGCTCTTCATTCCTAATGCAATGTCGTCAATGACACTAATTCATTTATAAACCATTCGTTTCCTAACGTTATTTCTTGCCTATCAATTACCATTTGTCCTGTAACATTTCACATCTTAAAAAGATGTAATGCGTTCAACCTTGCTGGAAAGAAAGAAATACTTCATGACTGATTAAATGGTATTTCTCAGAAAAGAATTCCGGGAAATAAATATCAGTACCTTACTAATGCTTTACAAAACCATTTCATTCTGTTCTTCAAGCTGTCTCATCTGCATGCTATTACTTTGAAAATACTCAAAATATTTACTTTAACTTTTTTTTTTCATTTTTTCAGGAAGTTTGCTTTTTAGGAAATCAGCTAAATTAATCAATTTTTGATGTTTATTACTTAAAATGTAACCTATGAAGCAAACATACCTAAAATGAACTGTCGTCTGAATGTTCTGTAGTAATTTCACCTCAACTTCTTTATTCACTTGTTGCTTTTCCGCGTCAACTCCCCGTCTAAATAATAAAATGTGAACTGGTGAATGTCGGAGAAAAAATCCAGCATAAATAATACCGAAACACCCAGTAGGAAAAGATGTTAAAATGCTAACAAAATAGAAGTCTAATTATATAAATGTTTCACATATGTACCTCAAAGCTAAGCAGATATTATACCTTAATTAGCATCATCCACCTGTAATTGAATTTCATTCAAAAGCGAAGCTATCATCAGTTGGTTATGTTATTTGGAATAGAAAGTTACTTGAGGTTATTGATATATTCATTAACAACAAGTTTCGTCTTGCAATTTTAAAAAACTCTTTCCAGCTATTGGTGGAAATAGATATTTTACAAATATTTTTGGGAGATTTACTAACGATGTGCTAACCTTTCCTTCAACTATCATATTAATTATGGATTAGGAACCATATGTGCTAACTACTGTAGCAGTTAGTTAATTTATTGCTATTTCAAAATTAGATACATTTCTCTTAATTGATGTTATCATTAATAATAAGATTGATCAGAAACACCACTTTTCAACATAAATATCAATGATAAAATTGGTATTGTTTATAACACTCTATTTGGTAGCTAAACCATTTTTATCAACGATGATGATGAGTCCACTGTGCTCCAGCTGGCCTGAGATCTTTTTTTTCTTTCTTCAATTCGGAGCTCGATTTCCAATCAAGATAAAAAATGATTAATTACAAGTCAATTCATCAATCATTTACTTAAACATTATTCATTTCTTTATGTTAAACCCTTTACCTAAATACTATTTTACTCACTTAACTACTGATGTCACAAATAGCAAACAACGTCATTCTCGCTTTTTTTTTTTTTTGAACAATCTCTTCACCAAAATGTCCAAAGTTACAATGAAACTTGTTTAAATACTTATGACCTTTTTTAAGCAAATACTTTTTTGCACAAATGTTATTTATTTAGCAGATTATGGATTTATCAAATTGAATTTTATTTTCTGCAGTTGCATGCTAAAGTAGGTAACAGTTATCTCAGAGATATTGCTTCCCACTCCTCTGAATAATTTATACAGAAATATCTTATTCAATTATTCAACATTCAATGTTTAATATCTTGTACAGAAATAAAATCATTTCCACCTGTAGCTATAGTTGATGGATAGGTTGTAAAGTTGAAATTTAGCTTTGTGATTAGTGAAGATAGAGTTATTTTTTCATAGTATGCTTTTGATCATTTGACTTCATACTTTGATTTTCACTTGGTCATTTTATTGGAAAATGAACCACAGTACCTTATCTCGTTTTCAAGTGAAAGCTGGAAAATATCGCAATAATGATGAATCATTTACTGAAACAACTAGAACTATTCGTTCCGAAAGTTGTATAGGAAGGTGCAATGTTAATAAATGTTAGCAACCAGCAATGCATATTTCAGATTTCAGCTTTCAGATGCAAGTCGTGGAGCTTAACTTTATTGACTAGTTATAATTAATAGCTAAATCAGCTAAACCGATTCCAGGTATTAGAGTTATAAACAGGGATAGCCAAGTATTTACTGTGTTTTTTGAACATTACATCAGAAAGCTTGATTTTTTCTAAATATTATTTTAATTGAAAAATTTATCTTACTGGTAGATTTTTCCAATCCTCAAATAAAGATTTGCTAGAATTGCGAAGAATTTCAAGTAGATAATGGTCTTATAACTAGTCGAAGGTATGTCGCAAATGGGGAAAGTAACTCTCAAGAAATAAGACTAAAATAGTTGTGCACGTAACTGAAACACATGATACCTTTTGGCGCCATGACATGGCTATGACATGACACCATGACACATACTAGAAATCCAAAATATCCCAACTGTGGTATGAACTCCCTCGTACAAAAGTTGTTTTCTCACAATTCCTGAAAACTCTAAAAACCTTACTTCCTTGTCTTTCAACTTCTAATTTCCCAAGAACCATGGCATATCTTGACACTGATTCTTGTTCGTAATGCGTTCAGAACAGCTAGCATTGACCATACTGGAAGGAATCGTAAAGCGCTAATCCACCGTAACCCTCCGGTAAATCACGCATTTTGGACGACGTAAATTCCGTCAAGCATAGAACACTTCTTACAAATCGCATTTTTGATGATCATTTATTCTACTTAGTAGTGAATATTCACATTTCTTTAATAATGAAGAGATTTGCTGTAACTAATGACAAGGTGTATGCGTAGAGTTGCAACAAATCATATTAGGTTTAAGTGAAAGGTTTTATTTTGCAACTTATGAAATAAACTACCTACATATAATTCATAAAGATGGGCAACAAACAACTCTTAAAGTTTCCGTCACAACGGAATATCCGTTGTAACTGAAACTGTTGATATCCACAAAACATTGAACTTTCAGTGGGGCAGTTTCAAAAGAACAGAAAGGAGAGGTATAACCCAAAACATTTAATATGTCATTTTAACATGTCATGTTACTGAAAGGTAGATGAAAACCACTGCAGACCAACTGAATCTTATATAAATTCATAATAACCATATTCATTAGCAAAAAATTTAAAAGAATAATGAAAACGAATGACCTGCAATATATGAAATAGGCTATTGCGAAAACTGACCATCCAATCAATTTGTAGAATACAGAAAAAATGAACTGACAATTACTCTAAAGACGGTCCTGCAAAGTGGTCCCATTCATTCATCATACGGATCAAATAATGGCAAATATGCCTACAAGACCCAAGCTCATGCAAAATAATACCAACAGATGGGATATACAGTATGAAGAACTACTGAATAGCACATGTATGCTATTACAAAATACGAAAGGTTTGCAAACAAAAGGAGCATAATGTGCACCAAGTTTCCTGGAATGTGCCGGTTGGATAATTTTATATCCATGAAGCAGATCGCATCAGAAATCAGGAAGATAAAGCTGCTGGTTAACTTTGGAGTAGCGCATAAACGGCAGAGTTTTGAAGTATCGGAACAGTAATTAGTTACCCACGATATACGATTTTTCCATATGATCACGAAAACTGCATTAATTATCATCTTTCTAAATATTCAGTAGTCCATTTAAATGAATAGAAAAATTTAGACAAAGTTCATCGATGATCCACGCTTGGCGATTCTGAATTCCTCGATGGTCCACAGTCAATGTAAGCAGGTCGGAACACTGTGCGCACCTGATCTGTTAACCGCTGTTGTTGTGATGAGTCTGGGATTGGCGAGCTACGTGAACCACGATCAAACTTTCCTCCTTCGCCTCTCACGCGAGTTAAGGCATGTTTATGTCTGGATTCATGGAGATATTTCTGGGAAAATAATATATTTATAACTTTATTCTAAACTGTTAAAGAATATCAATAACTATCATTTATCATAAAAAATATTCACAGAAAGCATTAACCGTTTATGAATAATAAAAACAATCAGCATTACTACTTACCCGCCTTTCCTTGGGAATTCTCCCCTCACTTTCCAGTTTTGCTCGAGCTGCTCTTCTTTTTATAATTCTGTAAAGTAACTATACGTAATATACAAATAAGAAATTCTACTCGAACAACTGACTACAAAAAAACGTACTAGTAAATTATTAAGAAAACATTCACCTATGATACTGTTTGGCGTTAACATAAAGCGGCTCTTCATCTGGTTTGGAAACAAGAGGACTGTTCGACGCCCCCTACAAATGACAATTTGTTAAGTTACAAAACTTACCAAGCCAAGAAATGCTTAAGACTATACTGAGTACTTCTATTCTGTACATTGCTAGTTTTATGAAAAATTAACCTGTGTCGTTAACAGCTGAACCACATTAGCGATATCAATTCCCTTAGCGTCTGAAAGTGGAACGGTATAAAAGTAAAACAAGCAAAAGACAGACAACTAGCTCAGTTTTGCTTCCATTAGCAGTTGAACATGGAATCAGCCAACTATTCAAAGCACGCTCCAGGATAGTAAAATGACTCTATATTACTAACCAAAAGCTTTTTGAAAAAGCCTAGAAACAACTCTTCCAATCCACTCACTGATTAAAGGACAGAGAGTAGAGCAAGGAAGGTTCACAGCTTTCGGAGACGTTAATCTAATTTATTATGAGCTGATGACAAGGGCAACGTAGCACAGCATAGAAAAAGATGAAAACTCTGACGAAGAAAGATGAAGATAGCATAAAAGCGAAAAGCTATTTAAATCACTACAATGGCCGTACAGTGAATTAAATCAAATGAGGTACCTGTGAAAAGGAACGGTGAGCTTACGATGGGTGACGAAGTTGAAGGTTGTTGGTTCTGCTCGCTAATAGATATTGAGGGTGAACTGGGTAGGGTGATATATGATGCAACATCATTCAAATTGATCACTTGAACATTACCAGGCAATACCTGAATGACGACTGTTATAAGAAAAAGATGATGGAATGCAATTTATACCGGCTTATATAAGCACAGATAGTTACCTGATACAGTGGGGATGTGGTATAATCATAGAAAGAAAAAACACAGGAGGTCATTACCACTAACATTTTACAAGGAAAAGATGAAAAACATCCATACAGGAAGAGATGGAAAATTTCCCTTACAGGAAGAGATGAAAAACACCAAAGCTAAAATTGTGAATTGAAAATTTGATCAACCAAACCACATCTTTGCCAACCAGCTACGTAATTAATGACCTCCTAAAGAGCTAACAAAAAAACAAAACAAAATAAAAAAAAACAAAATGACAATGACCTGCAGAGAATTTCCATTGAGCTGAAATGTTTGCTGCGCGTTTGGTATCAATATATACGACTTCTGATCATTACCATTTACTACAGTATCAAGATCGGTAGCCAAATTAACCACCTGTACCTGACATGGTTGATACTGAAAGAACAACTGCCGTTACTTTTAACAAATCCTGCCAACAACTCATGCTGAATCAGTACAGTGTTGTCATAAAAATATATTGTAGTTACCACGAGCGGTGCAAATTTAACACCAAAGAAAAAAGAGTGGATATAAGAGCCTAAATTTGGGTTATGCTATTACTTTTTTCCCAGGACACTGAAACGACAGAATAGCTAGGCACTCTCCTTGGGATATTCCAAACGAACCTGAGAGAATGACGAGGTGGACGAAGGTTGACTACCAGTTGCAACAACATACTGATGTGTTGACGTACTGCCGTCGTTCCTGAAGTGAAACCATTTAAGCATGAATGTATAAACTGTTGCCATAAAATGTTTATGGTATGGGATATAATGTTCTATATATTAATTTAGAGGGTTTACTGATAAAAAAGAGGACAATATAATAACAAGAAAAAGAAGTAAACGAAAAATGAGTACAATACTCAAAAAAGACCAATAATATTGAAAATTAAATGCAAATTCCTGAAATCCTGAATGAACCAACTCGCCGGGACAATAACGGGAACGGAACCTCCCATTCCCTCCTTTTCCCGCGGGGGAAACCCACCAAAGCCCGAAAATAGAATGAATCAGCCCCCGCCTACTAATCCGCGTTCCACTTACATCTCATTGGCGGACGATGCATCGCAAGTTGGCTGATTGGCCGGCACCATTCGGGCAGTCCAATCACAATCGATTACCTCCTAAACAAATACAACGCGACACGCCCGACAATCTTTTTAACACTCGCTCTCGTGGTTTCAGACCAGCTCCTCTCTCTGATATTTCCGCATCCCATGTTCCGCCTCATCTCAGTTAGTCCGGCTGTCTATAATGTATCTCCGCCCAAAACTTGCTGGCGAAAGAAACCGGATGCTGATTTTTATTCAGGCTTGTTGAAGTAATCATTCTCCATTTCTTAGAAGTGTCAATCAGATGAGCGCACTTGGATAGTCTAATGGATGCACGTGAACGGATGATAACAAGCCATTTTTTGAGAAATCCAAAAGCTCACATACTTTCAGAAATCTCAAGAACGTCGTATCTTCCAAATAATCATATCTTGTTTCACAAACCACTAAACATAGGAAAATGCAGATTTCTGAACGCGTGCTTTGTTCGGCCACGTCTCCTGCTCCCCGTTTTTCTTCTGCGCACAGGCCGAGGCGAAACTTTAGTTTAAGGCTCTTCGGATGCTCATGTCCTTCTCCCTCCGAAAGTTCCAACGACTAGTGAAGACCTCACCCCATTCTGAGTTTTGCACAACCCTTGCATGAACCCTCTCACTCCTCCCACTCTTACTTCATTGTTGTAAAGGCACTAAACTCTTTCATCACAATAGGTACTTGACAGCGATGGCCAGAATCTCATATAGTGACGTACGTGTAGCCACAAACAACAGGTTCAATGTCTGTGCTTCTGTAGATTCTCTTTCCTCATGTTTTTATCATCTATTTATTATTCAGTGTACTGCGAAACACATCATTTTTCATTTTGCTTGAAAGAACACAAGTAGCAGTACAGCGAGACAGAACACATACAGAGACAAAACGCAAAAAGCAAAAATGACCAAAGACCATTAGGAGAACATTATGTACCATTATATGATGAAATGCCATTCCTTATATATTAGCATATTTTTAAAATATACTCACTATTTCACACGAAAAATGGATAATCCAACACAATCCTCCGGATTTCCATATTTTTGAATTTTACAGAAGAGACCAGCTCACATCTTAACGCAACTACCGCTCACCTCCTGCATTACATAATTTCCCGTTGCACAAATTAACAGAGCACAGAAAAATATGAAGCCCCTGCAAACCAATAAAATACAGACGAATGATGAGACATACAAAAAGCATAAATATCACCAGTTTTTCAAGATTTGCCAACTGCATGAAATGCACAGAAACATACAAAATATTTCTTCTTTGTACCTCCATTTTTGCCTCTGTAGTGCTAAACAAGAAAAAAGTTCTGGGAAAACGCGTGAAATGATGATGACACGTTGAGATCTACGAAACAATCAGTGTCACACTCAAGAACAATAAAATCACAAACTGCCATACGCAGATAAACCATTCTAAAACTTCATAAATTAGGTAAGAAACTTTGAAAAATCATCATCCTGTCTATTTTCATAATTGTAGTATTTCAGAAACTAAAACCGGTGAGAGCTGTAGTGTTAAAAAAGCATGAAAAATGACGAATCACCTGAACTTTACAATATAATATGCTTGGACAAGTTGGTACCTTACGAAGAAGTTGAAAGCAAGATTTACAGACTTATAAAAAATATGTTTTTGTGCAATTTATCCCCGCCAGTTAGCAATTCTTTCTCGTTTCTAATTTTCACTTCTTTTTAGACTTGAGGAACAACTGATAGTAATTGGGGAAAAGTGAATTAACTGAATATAAACCAATCGCTTATAATTAAAATCATACCAAAAACAGTTACTCTATAAAATGAAATCCATGAAAAGTACTATAATCTCTATAAGCTTCCTCATAAATACAGTAAAGCAAGGAGCCACTCTTTTAACTGGAAATCCAAGAATGCTATCCAAAGCTAAACAACGGACCAATAATACTGCGATCGAAATGCAGATTGCTAACGAAAAGTCACCATCCAATATGTGGGGGTGTGGTTGGACTACTTACTCCATTAGCACCAGTATGCGCCATGCTTGAATAACCGCCTCCCATCCGAATGCTTGATGAACCGGCCAAACGCCGTTCATCTCCTGGCACCATTTCAGTTGTTCCCTGAAACTATGAATATAGATCGCAGCATAAAAACTAGTGAAAAAAAAGGGATACAAAAAGGAAAGAAATGCAGAAGATTTGCATGCACATGAACGGTGAATACCGCAGAAAAATGGAAATATTTTTCAATTAAGCCTCAGCAAATATCAGGAAAACTTTTGTGAAAATATTAAAACAATGTGCAAAGCGAGATCAAATAGAGTGGCAGCATGTTTTGGTGTGAAGAACAAAAACTAGCCCCACATAACTTCCCGAACTTCTCACGTCGGGAATTATTCAATAATAAATACAAGGTCCGCACGTTCAAGGGAAAACTCATACTACATTATTCCTATATCTTAAGGCGAAATATGTCGAATTTCTATTTCTCTTCTCTGCAGTGTTCAGTTCATAAATGTATAACCAGGTGACATGCTACTAAATTACAACACCATAATATCGGTGCACTGAACAACAAAACGTTCCGGTGATATTGCTCTCATAGACACCAGGAGTGAGTGTACGGGGTATTCTTAAGGAAAAAATCATAGCATTTATTTGAAATTTAGCATTATTTTTTATTTAGCACTATTTTTATAATTTAGCATTATTTTTTATTTGAAAGAAAAAACCTGGAAACGTTTTAGTACTGACCGGTCGAGTCGGATTTGAATGCTGCAAAAAAAAGAAAAAACAAACTACGAATTGAACTCCAGTAAGAAAAATAATATCAATGAACTAAGCTTTATATCTTCAAAATTACTTCTGTTTCGTTTAGAGAGGCACTTTCTGACAATACATTTTCATCTTATGGACAAATAACACTACTTTTAACTCATATTCTTCATTCACCCCGAATATATACCTAGTCATAATGCTTGAAGAATCAAGTCATCCCACGTCTTGCACAACAGATACATGATTAAAGAAAATCAGTGCGTCCATCTTGCTTAAATCTACTTAATACCGCAGTGAATAATGACACAAACCTGTGTATACTGCTGATACTGTGGATGGAAGTTATGGATTGCATCCTGCATAATATCTTTAGGATTCATTGTTTCTTTCAATGAGCTGCTAATACTCTGTAGCGTAACCGGTCGTCCACCAATACTGCCGTTCAACACTGGAAGTACTATACACCCTTAACTTCTAATTTTGAGTCTTGACCCCACCTTTAGTTAGGTGGAGAGAAAGATGAGAGACTGTTAAATATATCGAAAACCACGAATACCTGTCGAACTAAATACTCGGAAAAGTCTAAACTAGCTGATAAAAAAATCCGAAGAGACAAACGAAACCTGTACTAGGGTCGATGTACGCACTAATGCTAAAAGCATATCTTAAGGCCACCGCTGCAAAGAACATTTCAACACAAATAAAGAAGTTTTGCCAAGCTGCAGCAACGGTGCCACGGGATATGACCTCATGACCTTCTGCATCGTAAATTGGATCAATAGCCGAAGTAGAACCAAGGACAGCAAGCAAAAATCCTGAAAATTCATTAATAAATGACAGGAGAAACATCGAACTTGATTTAGGTAGCAGTTTTACAAATATCAGACTGTAAAATTACACGATGTCCGTAACTGCAAGACAACCTAGCATATAAAAATTTCATATCTGAAAGGGTTAGAGATCAAATATTCTAACAAATCCTTTACGACTCATACATCCATGCGTTGCTTACTGTATATTGATGTGTCAACACGCTATAATAAAATCGGTAGAAGTAGCCAATGTATATGAAGATGATCCTACTCACTACCGAAAAGTACAAAAAAGAAGCACCCTTGTCCCCCACTTCCATGCCTTTCGATCATCGCTATGAACTACACCGAAAAACATAATTTAAAAAAGTATCATCATTACGATTAACCTTGCCAGAAAGAGAGGAAAATAACTGATTTGACAGTGAGAAACTTTAAAACAGGTCGATATGGTGAAAGTAAGTCACGCGTAGCTGTATAGAATAAAAACAGCCCGTAAAGAGCCAAAGAGACTGAGACGTTGTACACAATAGTTATATAAAGATAGCCTTGATCGCCACTGAAAACAAAAAAAAATCATTTTTCAAAAGTGAAAATGATACAGAAAAAGACGTGCTTATTGGATAAATTAGAAGTATAATTTACTTCCAAAGCTACTTTCATATCTTGATTGTACCCACACAAAACTTTCCGTTTATCCCATGTTGTACTGCATTACCTTACTGCAAGCAAAGCACTCACCTCCAGTTTCCATCTTCGTATTTCCCCAGAATCATTAGAATAACGGTAAATGCAGCCATAATTGGCTTGATAATACAAAACTGAAGTGTCGCCTGCTTGCAAAAACGTAAAAACTCAATTGTATATTGCTTTCCTGCTAAACAACATGTACATGTGTAGTAGGTGGTTGGCCTGAAATTCATTATCTTGTAGTATCTAATGAAATAAGCCACTCAATGCAACAAATTTCAAACATTCTTCAACTACAGTTCATCGCTACGGGAATTAAGCGATGAAGGATAATGTATTCTAAGATACGCTCATTTTATGTTCTATTACTTTCTAATGCACATATCCGGTACTGCGTTCTTCTCTAACTGCTGCAACGATTGAAAAATCCGGCAAAGAAATCAATACGAAACCATACGATAATACACAGTCCCATTACAGGAATTTATCAAAGTTTACGATACCCTACTACAACTTACAAGGTTTTGCAACACACGAAACTGAAGACTAACCGAATCGGTTTTCCTCTTATCTCAGCCATTATGTTACTTTCACCACCAAGATATTCATAGCATAAACTCAGGAAACTGTATATAACGAACGCTGAAAATGCATCAACCCACCCTGTTATTCAGTTTTATACCCTCAATAATTTGAATCTGTGAAAAGTAAATGTCATATAAGATTATTACCTTCATAACAGTCACGAATGGCATTGAAGTAGACATATACGTTGTTAGAAAGAAAAAGTAGACTCAACCACGAATCTAATGAATACATAGGTACAATAAATAAAATACGCACAATCCACCGCTGTTCAATTGGGCAAGTATACCATCGCAAATGTTGATAGATCTAGAAAATTCCTCCTCTTATTTCTCTTAAACGATAGATTCTCTGCACCAATCACAAAAGATACTTTTGTGAGTTTACTAGAAAATTAGAAAAACGACCACGCCCTCAGCGATACGAAGAACGTAAATTTTTGCAATCTTTCATGATTTATAAAGATTTGCAGTATATCACGATCAGCAGCATTTTCTAACAGTTTAATAAGTACCTGATAAGAAGTGATGATAAGAGCTGCCCAAGTGAAAAATCCAGCAATGCCACGAGCAAACGTGGAACGAAGGAACAAATCATCTGTCATCGTTACATTCGCCATTTTTGTCTGAAAAGAAGGCTAGTTTGCAAAAGTTGTGAAGTAATGGAATATAAACTATCTAACGACAGAAAAAAAAGAACGAGGATGATTTAACCGCATTTTATGTTGCATTCTAAATCAGTTGTATTTGACGCAAAGGGAAAGTCCCTGAGTCAATTTTTTTTTTCAAAAAATGCTTTTTAATTTCTTTAGTGTCAATCGAAGCTCACCACTACACTAACTTGTGCAAGATCCTTCTTTCGAGTGGTCTAATTAACGGATGAAATAACTCCTCCAGAAATGCAAAAGAACGTACAGGTAGAAAGCCAATAATCGAGTGATCGAAAGCACAACATAAAATGTTGCCAATTTGCTTAAGCCAAGAGAAGAGAGAACATCCAGTAACGTGACGTACCACAGAGTACGATAGGAACGAGTGTGCTGCAATTATACACAGTGCGAAAGTGCTAATAAATCTATGCTTCGACTGCGGAAACGTTTACCGTCACATCGAAACTACCAGTTATACCTCCTTTATTCTTTCGCCCACGTAAAAATCCGTCATTCACGAGAATGATACGTTGAGGTGGCGAATAGAATGATTTGCTCCATCAACTCCTGGAGCCAGACACAAATCAAAATAAGATAAGCATGAACTCGAAACTCCGGACAAGTTTGTCGTGTATTAGTCAACAATGATTAGCTGCTTCGAACGACTGACAACGACATCACGATTGAGAGAACAGAAGAGCCTGACACTTATCAATATACAGGTTTATTATAAGGTCCACTAAATGCTACTGCATATCGCGTCATCAGCTGTAGCGAATACTTTAACTGGAGGAAGTTAAGTGATGTAAACGATATTCAACAATTTAAACGCAAAGAAGCCTTTATAACTAAGATAAAAAAGATTTCCTATGCTCATCCCATCCTTTTTTAAAGGCTTTCCTCCAAGCCGACTCAAGAATTACCTCAAAAGAAATCGTGCGAAAGCCCATTCAAATTGCGTCGGTAAATCAAATGAAAAGAAAATTCAGGGGAATGGATTAGAAATAGTTACGCACCGTTCTTTCGTCTTATTTCAGTCTAACAATGGAAGGTTGTGGTACTGGGGCAGTGTGCCAGTGCTGCCTTTAACAACAACAGAATTCCATCGAAAGGGAAGGTGTCGTCTCTCTCCCTGAGGTCACATCCATTTATAACTCATTCCATCAATTCATTACATATACATACACTTACACTCACACATACACACACAGACACACACACACACACGTACATACACACAGACACACATACACACCTGCACACACAAACATAAACACAAACACAAACACTACGCTCGACGGTCAGTCCACGAAACCCGGCGGTAGAAGTCTGTTCTTTTTGCAGAGCATTTCGATTATACTTTAGGTGGGGGGGGCAACAATGACAAAAATATGTGTGTACATTTCTGTGTAGCGATCCATTGGGTAGCACTCTCCCGTGGCCAAAATATATGAACATCGCGGTTATCTTTTACGGACCCCAGGCCTTCCTCCTCTTAAGGTTCGTCGATATTTTAAGTCCCCGAGAGCATATAGCACATCAATGCAAATGCGCCCAATATATGTGAATGTGTATACCCACCACCCCTTTGAACTGCAGCTGTCAATAGGAGTCCCACACACGTGCGTATTAGATAGGCAGTTGGACGGAAATGCCGCAGATCAATGATTGTCACAGCGACACACAGAGCCCACGAGCCACCAACGCTCAATCAATGACGGCCCACGCCCGCCCCCTCATCCTCTCAGTTGTCTTGAGCCGAACACAGTATGTTACTACATTCGTGCAAGATTGTTAGACTACTTTGACGGATACGCTGCGACAACTCCTCTTTGGCCGTTAATATCAGCATTTCAAATGCTGTATGATATCCGGACCTCCCGGGTTATGCTAACATTTAATAGTTGAAATGCATCAATTATACTGGCCATATGTCGATGGATGGATGTCTCCTACAGTTGACGAATAAAATGCATATGGCTGGGAATGCAAAAATTCAACGAAATCTGTGTTTTAAAAGTCAAATCGAGTCGCGGAAAGTGTGCCGAATAGTAACCGGACTAAGTTTAATCAGCTTAATTGATGGCATGCCGCAGAATTTTTCCCACTCATCGATGATATAAACCCACTATAACGGGACTTGACTGAAGTGTGACACGGAGATGGATTCGAGAATGGCTTGTACTTGGATACTTATGAATATGTCAGTTTCTCTGAACTTTCTTTCTTTAAGCTCGATTGTGATCTTGAGAAATGGCGCCCAGCGTGCTTTGCGCATCCCCGGTCCTTCATTGTATCAATTGACCCTTGTCGCTCTCTGCTGACCCATTCGTCAACTCTCGGTTAATAGCATCGTTATTCAGGTTGGTTATTCCTATCGTTAAAGCTTCCGTCGATATATATCTTTCTGCCTATGACGGAATACGATTAAACCATACTTTAACTAGGTCTAATGTTTTATTCTTATTTCTGGTTGAGACCTCTTTCTTTTCGCTTGATTTTGGAAAACATTTGGATGTCGGAATATAATACTGATGTATCAGAACAGCAAGTTGATTAACTTACCAGCTTCACTACAGATCCAGTAGGATGGATGGAGAACAGATCTGCAGTTCGGACGAATCATTAAAATCAGTACGTTGTTATATCCGTATAATTATTACTATTATTACTATTATTATTATTATTCTTTATTATTGTTATTATTATTATTGTTATTATTATTATTATTATTAATTATTACTAATTACTATTGCTGTTATCATTTATTGCGATCAATTTGTTATTATTATGATCAATTAGTTAGTTAATTATAAGGTACCAGATTTGTGGGAAATAGAACAATCATCCGTGTATTAGGATTATGCCAGAGTAGCATTTGAGTAGTTATAGGTATGTGCGCCGGAGGAGTGGGTTGTGGTATCGAATGCCATAGGCAGTAGAGGTATCGAAATCCCACTGTGTCCTTCGCATGGCGTGCTGCATGTCAGGACATTGAGAAATGTTTTCAAGGATGCCGCAGGACTAAAGTACCGAAATCCCGAGACCGGTCTCGATAGAGTGCTCTTGTATGTTTGATTTTCCACTATTCAGTGAGTAATTCGTTTCGGCAAGCTACAAATGGTAAACTTCTCTGCTCCCATTCAATCTTCAGAAAAGAAAAAAGTGCCAGTGTTCAATAATCGTTGCACCAAATACTGTTTGTCAGTCTACAAGATCCGACTCGATGCCTCACCGAAGTACAACACGGTCGAAGCAGGTCGGGAGATATTCCAGAAGCATTAGACGAAGTTTATTGTTATGGTGAACCTGTCCAGAGAGTGATTACCCAGTAGACCAGATGAGTGTCGCAGCTCGTGCTGGGCTGATTCGTATGTTAGGCAAGTTGCAGCCCTTCCAAAACAAACTGCTGTTGGAAGCGGACCGCACTTACTGAATAACTGTTCCTTCAAAAGATTTTATTTCCCGATCACTTTGTAGGATGGATCATGACGAAACGTGTTTTATAGCCCCAGCTGGAGGATGGAAAAATAAAACGTTCACTGTTGTGCGTCATGCGAAGTTTGGTAAGTTGTATTCGTCTCATCGAATTTCCTTTACTTCATTCTTACATTTCTACCAATTCAACTGTTTAGTGTAAGAAATTAATGAAGATCTGGTATCCAGGATACTGATGTAAGTGATACAGTTTTAGTTCGTCCGCCAGGGAACGCGAAAAAGCAAGTGAAACGTTCATTAGTCAATAAATCAAAGACGATGGCTGATATGGATTCAAACTCCGATGGAAAAATGAGACCTGCTCTGGCAAGTTCGAAAGCTAGCCGTGCATCAACAGCCTCAGAAAATGCTTGCTAAGTGGATGATGTTTACTGTGAAAGCTTCGCTAGCGTCGTTGTATTTTGATCACTTCCTTTTTTTCCGGTTTTCTTGTTGGTTTTGGTGTAACAAATAATTTTTAACACATTTTCATCTCTTTCGCCTTATTTCCTTAATAGCAGATGCAGTCACAAAGTAGTGGAGAGAGTTGGATATTATAACCAGGCTAAATCTTAGGTTCAAGGTTACAAAACTCAGACATTTACTCCACATGCGTTAAATCTTTGATATATGGATAAGCTGAACCCACGAAGCTATTATTTTGCTCTGCAGATTGACCTCTCGTTTCACTCTTGAACGGAAATTGATAGATTATGATCAAAACAATTACTGAATAACTTTACCACTGGAAATTACCGGACAAGTACATGTAGGCAGAAGCTATATATGTACACGCGAAATCTGACCTGAGCACCCTCTACGGATGTGACAAAAAGCATAACTACGCGGTGAAATACGTTTATGAAGTCATGTTTCCAAAACTAAGGCTGTAACAATATAGAAAAGCAATTGAAATTATGGTCCCAAACGCAAAGATACCAAAGAAAAAGTATGGGACGACCAAAAACCATCACAGAAATGACTGCTGTACTACGTATATACGGATATAATCGATGAATGTTGTACATATTGTCGGCACAATGAAGTTTCTAATTTCTAAAACTTAGCTCCGAGCATTTTCAATATTGCCTCTTTGTTTTCATTAAAATACGTCGACACTGTAACATATGGATTTTCCCCACACTTTTTTATTTGTTCTTCTATTGACTGTTTTTGACCATCTTTTGTCCCTCTTATACTGTGACGCGTTGACTGTCCTATCCTTCTGGAAACAAGAAAGTTCAAGAAACCCTTGGTCTTCAGTATTTGCGAACTCATATAATTAAATTAAGCTTATTCGTGGTAAAGTAGTCAGCTCCAGCAATATACTTCTGTTATTTAAAAATGAGCAGCAAGATTAAATGAGTGGTCAACCTTTGCACTTGTGGTATTGCTATTTGTATGGAAACGTATTCGGAGCAGTAATCCTGGATTCTTGATAGTTCTTCTAGAATTGCTATGTTACTTATGTACTTTACAAGCCCGGCACTTCTTAGCGATCCCTGAAATTAGATTACTATTCGAAATTCAAATTAGTCGTTATTTGCTGCACTTCGCTTTTCTTACATGTTATTCCCATACGGCACAAGTATTACCTTTGCTTCCACGTGTCGCATGATGCGATTAAAACATCGATACCCTTTCGTTGCAAAATCGATCTGAGATAATACAAGAAGAGCGCCCAGTAACTGATCATTATCGTGGTCCATCGTTGTTGACGTATAAACCTTCAGTTAGTATGAGATTTGTACTTTCCATAAACTGTCGCAGTCCAATCATTTATGTTATCATTTTTGAAATTTCAGGGTTACGAATAGAGCTATATGCAGTTCCACAAATTTAATAATGATAATAGAAGTACCCGAAATAAAATATGATACGCAATATCGTACACAATTCTTCTTAATCGTTCTTGTTTAACTATTATGAAAGTTGGCTAAAAATAAAGGCTTGATAAAAATAAATAATGAAATACAAATACAAATTGATCTGAATAGTTATTTGGTTCCAATTAACAGTAATGCATTTCCTACATCAAATTTGCATTATTATATAGTAAACTTCACCAAGGAACATGCCACATGCAGGAAAATCATACAAACCTGAGTGTTAGAAGTGTTAGAGTCGTTTTTAGTGCATGTGTTTGACGAATGTATGTCGGAAATCGGCTGCAAATGAGATACAAACTTGCATTAGTGTGCGGTAATATACTCAATATCATTCGAAAAAAGAGTTCTTAGTTTTGTAACTAATCAGTCTTAGAGCTTCATAAAACCTGAACCCATAATTTAAAATATTCGATAAGCTTTTTTTTGCATGTACAAAATACGTGATTTTTTTTTGGCTCTGCCTGTTACAGGACCAGCAGGAAAAAGTGGTTGACAGGAACAAAACCATTTTTGATCCGATATCGTCCTCTGTTCCTACATTAAGCATATGAATCACGTTTTCACATGCATCAGGCCAACTCCGGTCTAAGCAGTGAGCACAGGCAAGTTGGAAATAAAGCACTGTTTTGGTCGAAGAATCACCATTTCCCAGCTGCTAAAAATAAAAGGTGAGGTTACAAATGTGGGCTGAAAAATTGACAGATCGATAATGAAATTATCAGTACACAGAAGGACAGACACTTTAAAAATTTTTGACGGCACCCACATCATCAGCATACGCTATTAATTCATTGACTTTGCATTTGAACAATAGAGATTCGGTGATGAGCTGTCGTATGTCACTGTAAAAAGCAGTAAAATACAGACTTTCAGCAACAACATCTGTAGAAATCGACATTATATATGCACAGACTGCTGCACAACAAAGTTCGTACGCCTCGCATAGCTGGAAAACATAGAATTGAAAAATCTGCTCACCTTATCATATGTTCATATCCAAGAACACAACATATTATTCAAAAATTCCATGCTTATTCCACTTATCTCGCTGAAGATCTCTATAAACACCCTAGTCGCAAATGAAAAAAATTCAAGAGAAGCTTGACCAGTTCACTTCTAATGAAAACTTTCTGAAGAATACCTCGCGTCGTGATGACATCAAATACTCTGTCTGAAATGTTGCTACCTCCTCCTTTCTTTCTTTAAGCTTTGTCTTTTTTGAAGGGGTTAAACACTCAGTATTACTGTTCAATAATTTGTCGACATCCATAGCCCAGTTATCTTCTGGGATCCAAGCAAGTACTTCACCTGTTGAATTTTCTGATGTAAACCTTGATAGTATTACATTTATCCGCCCCACTCACCCCTCTGTTCCTATAAAAAAAAAGAAAAAAATTGAATCTTCCATTCGCAAGTGTGCGCGGTAACAAAAGATACCAAACAGATACGAAAGAAGATCTTAGCTACAACAAACAAACACAATTAATGCCTCAATAAAAGAAAAATTAGCGTCGCTATTAGCTGAAGATACACGAAAAAAAAGTGTAAAGACACCTTCACGGATATTTGCTTTCCACTGCTTATAAGCATACCATATAAAAAATGGAAATACGATCCTACGAGCTTCACTTTTTAAACTGCAAGCTTTGTCCACGATATTTGACAGAGTGTTACATCCACTAAAAATATAGTCTATAAGATGCTTATATTTTCTATACACTGTACATGAGTAAACAAGAAAATTCCCGATGTTTTGTTGGAAAGAAATCCAGCTATATAGCAATACCATACCTCATATTTAAAGATAAACTGATAGGTGTTCCAAGATCATACAAAATGACACATTTGTCGAACAGTGCAGCCCCTATTTTAAAGCTCTCCTGTGAGAAATGCTGTGCATCGGCTTCATAATTTTCTGAGATTGCCCTGAAATCATTGAGAGTTGTTTTGCAGAGAATGAAAAAAATTAACCAGCAAAAACAATCAACACAGATGAACCACAATTATATATATCCAGGATAACAAAATCATTGCTTTTTTCTGGTACAAAAAACAATATGGAAATTGATGACCGCAAAAGATTAGTCCAGGTACCATTATGCTCTGGCCAAGCGATTCCAACATGAAGGACCGTGATAACAATACTCAAAGCTCTGCTCACTGTTATATTGGCAAAATTTAGCTTCAAGAGAGCAGGAGCAACAAAGACTGCTGAAAAAGAATCTGATGGGTAAAATGATGCATAATAATTGTCCCTTGATTTTGAAATTACTATTCTCATGGTCATCATGTACGTACTACGAAATTGAGAACTATTACTTTACAAGCACTTATTGGGTGAACAAGTAAGCAGTAAGTATACACTTAATGAAATAGCACTCCTTTCTAGTATATAGGTCGTGTAGGTTATATATCCTAAAGCAAGGGAAATTTTTTAAATTCTATAAAATCACCTAAGTAAACATGATACTTGCCAATGCCACTTTCGAGTTCCTTGTCATTGCTAGCTCTTTCTGTTATAAATGTTACGGCACGATTCTACAAAATCAAAGTTACAAGACTGAATTATTTAAGGAACACTGGTCTCAAATTCTCAAATTTTCTTTCATTTTCTCAAACTTCCTTTGCATCCAGAAAAATGAAAGAATCTGAAAGAAAAAGCTATTACAAACAAATAATGAAATAGATTTTTAAAAGGTCCAGCAACATAAAATATTAATTGAACTAACCAACAGTTTGCTGAACTTGTTTTCATCGGCATTACGTAGACAAAAAAGGAGTAATTTTGTTTTCAAAAGATCGTCGTTGTCGAAACGCTTTGTTAAGCCACCAATGATGAATTCAAATGCATCGTTTGATACTTCGGTGAACAAAACTGGAAATTTTTCTTTTCTTTTGTTGCAATGCCATTTATCAATAAACAGTAAATTTACTGGAGAAGTACCTTTTTCAGTAGAATTCTCTGAAGATGATGCTTTCAGGAAAAGATGATGTATCAGTGTCCAGGCTTCGTCCGATGGATGTGTTTTTACACTAAAATAATGAATCTCAATAAGTGAACATGTTAGAGAAGGAAAATTTTTTAAATCTTTGTACGTCCTATAAGTCCAAAATATATAGAAAGGTTTGAATGCTAACATAGACAGGAAGACTGAGAAGCAAGATTTCATTCATGATAATAATCATAATCAAATCATGTGGTAACAATCATGATGGAAACTTACAGTCGTTCCAGTACAGGGACAGCTTCCGTGGCACGATTCCATTTCATATAAAATCGTAGTTCGGTGATCTACAAAGTAAAGTTGAAGTTTTACAGAAGACCTGAACAGCATGAGTGCTTTCATTTAAATCCATATCGTTTTGCTTACAATGTTCAAGTTGGTCGACTAGCATTAGTGGATATTTCTCTCTGCAGTATATACTTTAACATTTCTAAGAAAAGTAGACCAGTATTCTTCGGTAAACTCTTAATTCTTCCTCCGGACACTTCTTGGCTACCAAATATGAGCTGCATCTATACAAATGGAGGTTGCATACATGCAACTTGCATACATGTTGCATACATCTATACATGCATACAAATGGAGGTTTTCAAAATGTCTTGCATATCTACAAAGGCTTACATCACATAGCAATAAATCGAAATCAGGATACAATGAAGCCAATCGACAATGCGCTTTCCCGACCGCGTAATCGTCCTCCTCTGTTAAACAACGAACCAAGTGCTCCTTAGCCGATAATTCCATCATCCAATTCCTCACCTAACCACGTCTATTACATGCACATTGTAGCCTGCCCGATAAATGATATAATCCGAGAAATGAGCTTGAAATACAAATCAAATAAAGCACGAAATAACAATAAAATGATCACAACTAAGTCTTTCTTTTATTTGCATTTCTACATTTCATTCATTTCCCTGTAGAGCGAGAAGTTGGAAAAGGAGAGAAAGGGAAGGGAAGAGAGAGAGAAAGTAGGGGAAGAGAAGAGAACAGGGAATGACGACTGCGATTAATCCCTCATTAAATTTACTTGAAAAAAAGAAATCAAGACCACCCTCGTAATCGCCCCATCGTTCATAAAATTTTGAGTACAACACCCACCCCCCGTCCATTCCGCTACTTAGCAATCTCTATCTTTCTCAAAATCCAATGCTGTATTTTTTTTGCTCAACCACTGCTACGTTTACACATGTTGATTACATGTTCGAGCGGGAAGATATTCCCGCGAGATGGACTGGAGCAGAAGAACGGACAATCGAAGGTAAAGAAGCATGAGATGCTTTAGGATAGTTGTATATAAACTCTGAGTGACACTGTGATAATGTTATACTTCCGGGATGTACACGTCTGTTTCGGATTGACTTCTGGCTCTTCGCCTAGCCAGATTGAACGTTTAATTGAAATGTGACAATTTTTCTTCATGTCTTCAAACATTCAAATTATTTCTTACTTTCCATATAATTGCTGTTTGGAACTTTTCTAAATCTTTCTAATGGTTCCAGAATCCGGGATTCTGGATTACTGAAAGCTTATAACACTTCGGATTTCAAAAACAGTCCGATTTTTATTGCGAACGATATTTTCATGAAAATGCTGGTACTGAATAACAAACAATGGAGATATGTAACGTTTTAAATTACTCATTCGAAGGTACAATAGGTGTTTACTTCAATGTCAATAAATTCAAAGATCGTGAGAATGGTGCCAAACGGAAGCTACAGTATCGTAGTTGATCGTTTACCCAATGATTGACCGGCCAGTGCATCAAAATATCGTTTGGGCAACTCACGAGAGCTATCAAATTGTATCCTTCTGCTGTCCGAATCGGAGAATGGATTGACTACGCCAAAATTCCGCTGCAATACTGAGCAGTCTTCAATAGACTTTTCAAAAATTTAACTTTTGATACTTGGTAGTCAAGCGCCTTTATTTTTACCTTTTTGTGCCATCTTCCTTTGGGCTTTCCTGTTCTGCACTTTGCAGATATACTGTTGCAATAATAATTTTAATTAGATGTAAAAGGGGAGTTACTTGGATATTATCTACCCCTTAAATTTATAAATTCGGAATTGAGGGACAGATCTTCGAGAAAAAAAATACTGTAAAAATTTGGTTTCTTAGTATATTTTCTGAATAAGAAAAAAAAGAAAGAAACGTAGCTTAGCACGTATACGAAAGACTAACCATGTACAAATCACCTCTATTATAATCGATGTAATTTCCTCGATGTGAAATATATTGGGATTCAGTGCGATAAGATAGCAATATCATACACAATGTTACCATCAATAAACATATTGTTTTTGTCATTGTTGCTCACTAATTTTTTTTTTTTTTACTGACGAATAAATAGGCTGTCGATTCACGTAACGTCCGTACTTATTGCTAAACAAATAAAAGTGAAATATTCAGGCAAGACAAATAGTTTTCCAAATTGCGCTCGTGAATGAGGCGAAGATAATGTAAATTAGAAATAGCACTGTCAATAGAAAGACAAAATTAAAGAATAATTATTTGAAAAAGTGGGATTAAGCAAATCCAATTTAAAATATTTCGTAAAATTTAAATCACATTTTGTAGCTCTTTCATCTTTCACAGTTCAGAAAAAAACAATGAGATCAACATCTTGAACAATGCAGGTGAATGAGTGAGATAGATGACATAGTGAGGCATTCACTATATCTCATTCTTTTTGTTAACTTTTGTAATCTAATGAGGAAAAATCGTTTCGATTATGCAACATCCATTCATAGTTAATGTTGCATCCCTAAACATTCGAAACCTGTCGTTTCTTGCGATACTTTTTGGAGTTTGATTAAAGTGACAGATGAAAAAAAATAAGTGGCATTTAAAAAAGCAATACATAATGGGGAGTGAGTGTTGATTTTGAAAAAGTCTTGTAATTTTAAATCAATTACTTGCCCATTTCCCATTTTGTTTTGTATGAGTAATATTATCTCTAGAAATAAATCATATTCCCAGAATTTATTCCCTATGTTATCCAGCTTTATCCTCTTATTTTCTAAACTATAATGAAACACCAAAACACCGAAATGATGTTGGTGTCAAAAAAAACAAAAAAAAGACTCCAGGTAATACTGCTGAAATCAATACCATTCATGCGAAAAACCTTAAAATTAAGCAACGTTAGTTCAGTTCAAATGTAAGTTTAGCAAAGAATAACCGTTACTCACCAAATCTTATCTTACTTTAAGAAGAAAGCTTACTAGTAGCTTGCTAACATTGATTAACAGATGACCGGAAATAAGTCTCAGAAGTCAGTGAAATGTCGCCTAAATAGCAGAGAAAAGTGTACAGTCTGAATCATGGAAAATTTAAGGGCTACAAGATTAATGGGTTGATGGCTAATCGTCCCTCGGGATGGCAATCAATTTAGATACTATGAGGTGTCGTTCATACAAATATGATTTTGGATGCTTGAGAATAGATTGAACCGAAAATGTTATGCAGCAGTGAAATACTTAAAACCAATACTGTAGGTATGCATTTGATATATTCGATGTTTCAATCATTCCGATCACTGAAACAAAGAGATTAAGACTCTGATAATCAGAAATATAGTATTGAAGAGGAGAGAGTTAAAACTGATTGCAAGGATAGTGAATACGGCGATTATGGAGAAATATTCCAGCTAAACTAACATTTAAACAAAATAGTTAACATGTCAGTTATGCTTTCTTCTAAACCTATCGCCCAATTAACTAATTGGATATTTACTTGGTTGCTTGGATAGAATTTAAATCGAATTTATGTGTATGAATCAAATTTTATGCATTAAAAAAGAGACAAAAATATTTAAGGTATTCAAATTGATGAAAAATCAAAGCGTATGTAAAAGAATTAAAACAAAAATATGAGTCAAAAAATTAACAGGCTGAGCAATTTCTGAATTATAACTTCTTGTCTGATATAAATAAAGCGATTAAAAGTTAGAATATAGAAAGTGTGAGTGTGATAAACTGTATTTTTTTTTCTCGAAGTTTTTTTAAACAATATATTACTTCAATTATTCTTGAAAATATCCGTTCTTTCTTCTCCTGTTTTGGAATTTTCATTTCCACTTCATGTTGAATGTGAGATTAAACATTACAATACAAGTGAAATGCAAATCTGATATACCTTAGCACTTAATATCTTCTGTCCCTTACATAGTTCTCGAATATCAGTTGTTAGATAAACACTAACATACAATACATATTTAGCATGAACTTATTTTTGCAACCTTTAAAAAAAAAAAAAAGAAGGTGCAAGAATTTAACTATAAAACAAAAGAGAAAAATGAAATATAAGTTGCTGTAGTTGGATTTAAAGTTCTAAAGTTAAGTAGAACTAAATTCTATGCACATGAAAATGACGTAAAAACACAGTTTGCAGCTATTTTGCATGAAGAAGACGAGGAAAGAGAAATTAAAGGAGAGAAAAAATGTGTAGGTACAGGTTGTTTTTTTTTTCTTTTTCATTTTGCTATCTCTAACAGGTAATTAATGAACTCGCTATCTGCAACAGGAAATGTCTGCTAATTGGCTGCTTCATCAAATTCTACTAACATATCTTGTTTCATCAAAAAAAAAAAGCGCATTTGTCAAAATATTTATATAGTTTCCAGTTAATTTATTAGGAAAAAATTTCGAGCATAATAGTAGTAGACATGACAAATGTGTCAAATGAAACTATATAATAGTAATTGGGGACGAACATTGCTAGTGATTTATCATATCAGCGCATCATATCAGGTGAAGAAAGGTAAATAAGAGGTTGCGAAAAGGAAATATAGCATGCATTCCATTGCAATTTTGTTGGTAAAATTCACCAGATTGATGAGATAAATCGTCCTATTGCTTTGAACTTCATATAACTACATGACCAGTGGATTGAATTTGATTAAAATTTTTGTATGAAAAGTGTAAGTTTATTCCATTTGGAAAACTCGTGAAGAACAGAAAAAAAAACCTTCAGAATGGCTGAAGTGAATTCTGTCACCAAGGATCATTAGCTAGTATTTTAAGCTATATGGGAGAAAATAAAACTTAGCAACTGACCATTGATCTACACTGCGTTAAATTTGTGTGAATTAGTAAAAATGACAACTTTTCCAGTGAATTCAAGTTGATTAATGGTTACTTTTACAAGTTGATCAGAATAGTTTCGCTGACGCCAATAGTAAGGTAGTTTTGTTGTCTTGCATCTTACTCATCGTAATAAATTTACTTTCTATAATTAAAATTATTTTCAATCTAAAACTTAGATGAGAAAACAAAAGCAAATATCCTGCAAACACTTTTTGCCAAGTATATTATTTTCGTTTGTACTGTTTTCTTTATATGTTATCTTCTGTACTTCTTTAGTTTCAAAGAAACAAAAATTTAAGCTTAAATTTGAAAATGGAAAAAAAGATGATGCCTTTACCTGTCATGAAAATATTTCCTCCAACAAGTCTTCTTGTTTTTTTTTAGCATTTGTTACCATTTTCTGAATGTGAGCAAATGATATAGTGGTATCATTTATCCATATTCGAAAAATGACAACAAATGCTGGAAGATTAATGTTAAAAATAATCATTGTACTTTCAAGCTTTTTCGTCATTTACACTTACATTTCGGAGGCATTGAATCTTTCGAATAAATTTTGAAAGATCTGAAATGTTGTATAGCTCGGAAACTTTGATTATTATTCAGAGATTTTATAAAGATAACATTGGTCAATTCTTGTTATAACAGAAATAATTCTATTGAAACTGCTGTTGTCCATTTAAAGAAACTGATACCATCAATATGTTATCAATTAATATCCATTAGCAAAATCTTAAAAATGGTAGACAATGAATGCATAAAAGGACAACCAATCAAAAAGATTCCTTATAAGTGGATTACACTTGTCTGAGAATAATCTGAGAGGATCTTCGACTAGTGAATTAGTGACATACAATTATATTTGGATTATCATCAGGGTAAAGCTTGTTATATAAAATGAACAAAAGGATAAAATTTAAAAGGAAATGAAATTCTATAAATCAGAATTTCGTTTCTCACGAATTAATTATACTTCAAACATGAAATTTTCCAACAAATTAATTAGGATGAAAGTTTTGTAAAAATCTTCACTGAATCATCATGGATTGTGTTCATAATTACAAAGTAATAGAATGTATATCAATTATCCTTTGCTGAAAGCAATTAATTGGCTACCATATTAGAAGTGTGGTTACTGCACATCATGGCTTCTCGAAAGGATGTCACGAAAACAAATGCAACATTTGGCTTCCATGCTATAAAATAATACTTTTAAGAAATTGGGAAAGCTACAAAACTTTTAAAAGTGAAAATTTAAACTTTAAAATCTTTAAAAACAAAATATAAGCTGGGAAAAAACACTATGAGTTCGACCAAGAAAATAAGCACTAAAGCCCTGTTAAAACTATTTCCTGAAGTCAGTTAAAAGGAAAATTTAAATAAAATCTTCAAAAATCTCAAACTCATCATCACACAAACACAATCTGTCTTTTTGCTAGAACTATTTTTGAAAGCACACTTACTAATTACTGCATTGAATTTTGGAACATAAGTACTGGATGTAATTTCCGGATTGGCAGTATTCCGGAGTTTTTTTCGGTATTTTGCTCGCCGATTTTTGAACCATATCTAAATTAAAAATTGTTTCAAAAATTTTGATTTCGTTCACAAAGTGCTGTTGTTCTTTAGCTTTATAGGAAACAATTTGGCGAATAGTCGTCATACAATATGGACGGAAAAATAAGATAACTTCTCTGGAGTCGTCCAATATGATTTGTTATTCAAATATTCGTAGTCGACGAATCTCAAAATATATTTCCTCCAAAGTAATCTTTGTCATGTATAAACTCCAAAGTAATCTTTGTTATGTATAAAATGGATGTGAAGGGTCACTGGAAGGTCGTGAAGTGATTAAAGAAATTACAGTTGTATTTGAAGGATGGAAGATACTTGAGTGGTTGTGAAAAGAATATTATCCGACCGCATCTGTCCATCATATCACCGACAGAAGCTTGGATTTGTTTGCATAGTACAGTAATGCATTGGTAAATATCATCATCATCAACAGCTGCGAGTTAGAGTGACACTAATGACTCAGTAGGTCAACAGCCATAAATTAACATTAATCCGAACTAGTTTTTCACATTAATGTGCAACAACGAAATTGTTGGAAAAATATTTGCGTAGAAATATTTTTTTTAGCATTCCATATTACAAAAAAAAGCAAGTGAAACTAATGCAAGAACTTATTGTAATTTTTACTGATTACAAATGAAAAACTAATTTTCATGTGATTGCAAGTTGCTTGAAGTGTTAGATTTAAAAAAAGACCTGAATGCGCATTTCTGGTAATTGCGTTTCCGAAGCCAACTCCATCCTCGTATCCATTTTTGGATATTGACACTTTTGGAATGCATTTTCGAGTAGTGTTAATTGTTCATCAGTAAATGCAGTTCGCCTACGAGGTAGTTTGTTGTTCTTTGCATCATCTAATATGAATTTAAATATTGCAAATTTGGCAAAATTGGTTTTCAATTAATAAATATTTCTGAATGATTAATGACTATTATGCTTTTCTTTACTGAGTTAAGCATTGATATGATGATAATAAGCCTTGCATACAACTGCCAAAAAGTGAGCTTATCAAAAAGATTGTTGAATCACAAAATGATGCCTGGGAGCAGCAAGAGAAGAAATGTAAGAATTTCATTAACAAGAACTAGAAGTAACAATAATAAGTGATTTGCATGCAGTTCATATGTTTCATATGGAACTCATTACGATAATTAATCATTTCGTTAGTGAGATGATATAATTAGTGTAGGAAAAGATACCTCTTGAACAGTAACTTTTTTGGAATACAGCGTTATAATTTGATAGTGTTGCAGGTACTACTAGTAGTAGTTGTTGTTGTTTTGGTTGATAAAGGGCCATAAGGAAAGAAAGTAGGTTCCAACGGTTCGATCCTCATTAATGGCAATCAATTACCATAGTGCTCATTAGGAGAGTTGATTGACCACACCCATGGTCTTTACCCTTTCAAGTTTACATATGTTTACAAGATCTTTTGTTGACACACGAATAGAGCAAAATCACAATGGATATATATATATATATATATATATATATATATATATATATATATATATATATATATATATAT